AAAGGCTATGTTAAGTAGTTACATTTAAAGTAAAATTAAATGTTACTCTTTCCTTCTTTCCAAGTGGTTTGAAGAATTTAACTAAGGACCTAAGAATCCTTGTAGCAAACTATTAAAGCAACTATTTATTTGTGTTGTGTTTATCGTGTTGTTTTCATTTGTTTTTATTAATTTATTCTTCATTTAATTATTTTATTTAATCATATGATCATTAGTCAATTATATAATTATCATTATATCATTTTATTGATCATTAGTTAATGATTTGATTATTAATGATCAATATTTGCTGTGAGGATGTTATAATGCATCCGTTGCTGGAACTACAGTTGAAACCAGAAGTTTACATACACTCTAAAAATAGGAACATAACCATTTTTTTTAAATGTCTGATGGTAAATCATACTAAACGTTTACTTTTTTAGGTCCATTAGGATTCCCTTTTTTAGCTTTGCTTTTAAACTGTATAACTGCGGTCAAACATTTTGGGTATCTTTCTACAAGCTTCTCACAATAGTTTGCAGGAATTTTGGCCCATTCCTCCTGACAGAGCTGGTGTAATGGAGTCAGTCTCAACTCTGGCCACAAATTTTCTATAGGATTGAGATCAGGGCTTTGTGAAGGCGACTAGGTCGCCTCTATGGAGGACATGTCTCCAAAAATGTGTCTTTTTGCCAGTATAATTTAGCAAATTGTAATCTAGCTTTTTTGATGATTCTGGCTTGTGGATATCCCCATGTTGTCACACTAGGAAGCAGGGTGTTTGAGGTTTTCCTTAAATACTATTCTACAGTTGTGCCTCCAATTTACTCAAATGTTGTCAATTAGACAATCGGAAACTTCAAAAACCTTGACCCCATTATCTGAGCTTTTTCAGAGGCGTAAAATCTTATTGTATGTAAACTTACTTTTAAGGAAAGTTATAACAGTTTCTCAAAAAAATATCTCTCTCATTATTCTGCTATTAAGCACAACATAAACAAACTTAATAATCCTAACTTACCTGGAAGAGAAAAAGTTTAATCACATGAACATCTGACTTTTTTGAAATGGGTATTTTATATGTATATATATATATGTATATATATATATGTATATATATATATATATATATATGTATATATAAATATATATATATCTATATATGTATATATATATATATATATATATATG